CAGTTCCTGGTCAACACGCAGTAAGACATATTTTTGAGGGTCAGACAATGCCCTTAGATCTCTCTAGAGCTGAGGGAGAACCGAAATGTCTTATTTAAGTTACAGAGACTCCTAGATATCTAAATATGTTCAAGGCAGTAGTGGTGTCCTTCTGAGTCCCAGAAAGCAAGAGCAAGCCAGGCACCTTTGAGGCCAACACCTTTCAAGATGTGAGTGACGGCAGCTTGGCTCGTAGTCCTGCAGCTGATTACAGCTGAGAGATTGCAAAACGCAGAAATAGGTATGAGGGCTTTGCACAATTTTGGAGGGAATATGTGGTCAGCATGGAGAAAAAAAGCATAATGACGAACCCTGTATTTGCAGCTGGTGTCCCTGTTCCCTTTCGTGGTCATGGTGGTGCTTGCTCTGTGACCAAGGGCATGGGCATGTTCAGAAGGCCCTGATACCTTGCGGGAATTTGCAGTATTGGCTCCAAACTGCAGCTGCTAAGGACATGTTAGGCAAATGCCTGCTTCCTCTTTTCCATATCTGTGGATATTTAGGCTGGTCTGAGAGATCACTAAGAATAATAGGATACAGCTATGGGAATGGGAGCTTAGGTTGAATAATGGAAAAAAATAGTATCAAATGTTAAATTCCTAAACTTGAATTCGTTGCAGTCATGCTGAGGCTGAGCGCAGCACTGGAAGATACAGCTGAATAAAGGGGGCAAGCAAACTCTAATTTCTGATCCTGAGCTGACAATACCTCTATTGTGTATAATAAAATGTTTTTGGCTCTGAACATGTGAAATAAGATAAAATGGGCTTAGTTCCTTGTCATATGCAAACCTATTAAAACATCCAAGGCATGACTGTAGAGAATGGCAAAACCCTGCTCTATTTATACTATCTGCTATACATCCCTTTTTGTCTTTGGTATATTTGAACGAATCTCCCTGCTGGGTTTTCAGTGAGCAGATGCTGTGCAACATCTAAACCAACACGCTAAGCGTAAACTTACATGGTTATATTACACCTGACTCTTCAAGCCTTGTCCTTGATGCACTGTGACGTTGAGCGTAAACGTGCTTTTTCTCCAGTCTGATTTCTGCTGCTATGTCCAGATCTTTGTCTCAGATCAGATGATGCCTTAAGGTCACGTTATCTTCCCCATGGGCTGGGTCTAGAGTATGAGTCAGGAATGCAAACTGAGGTTTTAATCAGTAGCAGTTAAAGTGCAAGAATGGAAGGGCAGCTGCTGGAGTTGAAATAACTTAGGAAACATCAGTCTCATCACTTTGCATAGCTTGTGTGACTGTGCTCATTAGGTTATCATGCCATGAACCACCCTCCCAAGAGGGCTGTGAAGTGATACTGTGGGGCTTTTTGGTCCTGAACCCTAAAGACAGGAAAACGTAACACTTCTGTCAAGCTGGAGCCCAAGGGCTAAACATGGTAACAAGCAAACAGGCAGCTTGAGATACCCTCAGCTTTAATGAGCTGCCTTTTGAGGACATACTGCCAGGCTAAGCAATAGCCAGTGAAAGGGCTGGGAGTCTTGTATCACGGCTCATGATGGTGCTAGTTCATCGCACCTGCAGTTTTGTATGGGCCCAGAAAGGAGGGTTGAATGTTTCTTAATATATAGCATGTTCCTACTCAAAAGAACATTGCCCTTCCCTCCCCCCTAAAAAAAGCCAAGTAACCTAAACCCTGCATCTGTGCACAATATAATGCAATATTTTACATAGTTGAATTCTGTTTAGCAAGAGTGGGAGGAGAAAAAGCATTAATATTTAGGAGCAGTGATAGTAGAAAAAAGGTATGAGGATCAAGCGGGGAATGGAATGACTAATCATCTGCAATGAATTAATGTCTATATTCTGTGTTATCTACTACAACATTATCCATACTAATTAAAGAGTTTCTACTAAAACAATTCAGTGGAAGGCTGTTGAACTGGGTTGTGGTTAAGACACTATCTCAAGATAGGAGGACCAGGGGTCAGTTCCTGGTTCAGCCAAAGACACTTTGGATGCTACCCAGTGTGTTTAAATTCAAGGTCTCAAATCTTCTCTCTGTAAAAGACCAAGTGAGGAGGTCATAGTTCCTAAGTCCAAGACTATGGCGACGATGATCTCAATTATGTTTGAGATGTCCAGTGGTGATATGGCTCATGGTAACATTTACTGGCAAAGAACAACTAAAGAAGGGTGAAGACAGAGGATGCCAGGTGCTTTGATAGGTCAGCAATATTGGACAGAGAGCTGTAGCAGATTTTGTAAGTAAAAATAAGTTATTTGCAGGAGCACTCTGATGCCACCAGGAGCATTACACAGATTGCCTTCAGTAACAGTCTCCTGTTGTAGAAAAATCTAAGTCTCTGTACCTAGATTTAATTTAAAAAATGAATTTGCCCTTTTAAAGGAAGGGCTAAGGCTTGAAAATACATTTGCTGCATTGCAGCAAGCAGGTTCACTAATAACAACAAAGACCAAAGACAAATTTTTTTTGCATTAGAGAGAACACTTTATTATTTCTCTAACATTCTTTGCTTTC